AAATGCAATCTAACCAAATTATAAACATATACATTCCAGACACCAGATATCCAAAATATAGGAAGCAAACACTGACAGAATTTTCAAAATGATTCTGAATTTTAGATCGCTGGACATCAGTGTTACAAAAAATAAATAAATAAAATGTAATACATTTGGCCAAATAAATCAGTCAGCTTTGTATGGTCACAGATCTGTTTAACAAGGGTAAAGAGGAGAAAGATTCCTATCGCTGCACGATGGAAAGAGTTAAGATATGAAGGATTCTGATGAGGTTACTGGAAGAAGATGAGGACGGCAAACTGCAGAAATCTCGTCCAGGTATGGACATGCAAGAATGAGGGAAAACAAAACTTCGGCTGTTAATTCATATTAACAATGAATTATGTTTCAATGTATGTTTTCTCTGAATTCAGAGTCTAGCCAGTTACATATTTTTTTTTTTCAACGTTTATTTATTTTTGGGACAGAGAGAGACAGAGCATGAACGGGGGAGGGGCAGAGAGAGAGGGAGACACAGAATCGGAAACAGGCTCCAGGCTCCGAGCCATCAGCCCAGAGCCCGCCGCGAGGCTCGAACTCACGGAGTGCGAGATCGTGACCTGGCTGAAGTCGGACGCTTAACCGACTGCGCCACCCAGGCGCCCCTAGCCAATTACCTATTAACAGTCGTTTTGTTAGCTTCACATGGCCGTTGGGAGAGCATCCCTTCTACATGTGCCATATCTATGTTAAAGATCACTAACTAGAAGATAATCAGGGATATGAAGGTAGCAGGGATATGAAGGTAGCATGCTTAAGATTTCAGTGTATTGCTTCATCCATCTGTGTGTAAGGCCAAATATGCATAAGTGTGTATATATACGCAGAGTTACCTTTTCCTAAGCACTGAATGCTTATCGGGCAATGAACCAGACACTCTTCACGGAAAACCTGACTCATTCCTCATAACAACGTCCGTGAGACAAGATGAATTATCCTTATTTTATAAATGCAGACACTGATGCTCAGAGAGATTAATGATTTCATCCGAGGTCATTGCAGTACTATAAAAAAAATCACTTATTTGTACTTAGTGGTTTCGGTCCTCTGGCTTTTTAATTGTTCTTGTGCCCTACGTCTTTTTGTATTTTTCTTGTTTGATTTTGTTTCCTGTGAATTCATTTCGGGAGACGCGTCGCAATCATTTTAAAATTTTTACATCTGAAAATTTGCTCAAACATCTGCTAGACTGAGTGAAAAACCTGAATGAAAACCCCTTTATGCACGTAAAGAAGTTGCACTATTCTCTTTACGCAGCTGCTGTCGCTGATGAGAAACTTACCATCCAGAGGAGGATTTTCGGTTTCTTAGGGTTCATCCGGTTTGTGTGTTTTCCTTCTCTTTGAAGGCTTCCAAGATTTCCTCTTTGTACTTGATGTTTTGAAATTCAGTAGCAGTTATCAAATTACCAAAAACATCCTTTTAATCTTTCTGCTCATCACTGTGCATGCTTTTTCCAATTTGAGGAGCATAGGTTTCTTCTCTTATGATACTTTTTCTTCTGCTACTGCTAAAAATAACCCCGTTCCTTTATACTTCACTCTTTCTGGGACTCCTCTGTATACCACGCCCCTAAACTTTCTACTTATCACTTACATTTATTGTTGTGCTATTTTTCTTTTTCAATGCTTATTTTTGAGAGAGAGAGAGACAAAGTGTGAGCGGGGGAGGGGCAGAGAGAGAGGGAGACGCAGAATCTGAAGCAAGTTCCAGGCTCTGGGTTGTCAGCACAGTGACCTGAAACTCACTAACCTTGAGATCATGACCTGAGCCGAAGTCGGACGCTTGACCAGCTAAGCCATCCACGTGTCCCACTATTTTTCTTTCTCTCTTTTTTATTAAATTTATTTTGAGAGAGAGGGCGGGTGGGGAATCCCAAGCAGACTCTACAGGGTCAGTGCAGAGCCCAACTCGGAGCTCCAACTCAGGAACCGTGAGACATGACCTGAGCCGTAATCAAGTTAATCTGATGATTAACTGACTGAGCCACCCAGGTGCCTCTGTTTTGTTAGTTTTCAATGATATCAAAGGGAATTATTCAGTGTCATAAGGACACAAATTCTATCTGATAAGAAAAATTAGTCATTCTGTTAGCAATCCATTCTTGAACAAATTCCTTAGTGGATGAGACAATGGCAATCCGCAGATATCTGCTTCCACCCTTAAAAATAATAACTGAGGAAAGTTCAGAGGCAGGGGAAAGACAGAGATTTGGGAAATCAACATAAAGGACTCCTAGAAAGCCCTGTGGAGATCTAAGGCTAGTTTATACATGTGAGCGGTGTGTGTGTGCATGAGTGTGCATGAATGCTAAGAGTGATAAGGCTCAGGGCTTGCATTTGGGAGATACAGCAGCGTGAGGCTACAAAAAAGAAAATATGTTCAAGGCAAGTTTTGGATTTCTGCTTTTGCTTCCTTCCTTCTGGCCTTCGGACAATTATTACATTTTCTGGTGCTCAAGAAATCACCCAGGCCTCCCGAGTGTGCGTGATGAGTGCTCAAAAGCCATGCTGAAAAGAAAAGACTGAATTTATTTTATTGTGGTAAAAAACAAAATAAAATTTAGCCTTTGACCTGCTTTTAAGTGAATAATACATTGCATTTGCTAAAGACACTTCTAATTAAAATTGCTCAGAATTGAAACAGACCGCTTTGCAAGATAGAGATGTTATCGCTACAAGTATTCTGGCGTAGAAATTTCTGCTAGAAATGTTGTAGCTAGAAATGTCACACGAAGTGAGAAGTTTTATTAAGTGACTACTGAAGTCTCCTCCACTTTTAAGATTACTAGATTTGTTTATTAAGAGACTCGCTGGATAGCTGCTATCGGAATTCATACCGGTAAACTGCAGAAATGATTTGTTTCTCTTCACTGTCTTTTTCATGAAGTTTTGAAAGGTTTCCTATTCCGATCATGTAATTTGGCAAAAACGGCTCACTCATGTTGTCTAACAGAAACCCTATCAATTGTCGCGAACGGTGGCGTTTTGTTTCGTTTCATTGTGCCTCATTGTCATTTGTTAGTTTGCCTGTTTGCATTTCAATCCAGTTAAAATTAGCATAATTTTTAGGCTCAGTCAATCCTTACACTTCAAAAGCCCTTTTCAGCCCTAATAAGTATCTTCAAGCCATCTTCCAGATTTTCTCAACTTTCATCCAGATGATGTTGGGGAAACAATAAAGACACTGGACACTGAACGATTCTGAAAATCCACCTGACCCAAGCGCAAACATTTAGAAATATCTTCACTCACTTTAGCAAGACATCAGCTACTTCAATCCATCCGTGGTCTGTGCTAGTTGAGAGAGTGAATGCAATCTCCGTTACAGGATTGGGCAAATCTGTGGCAAATAACTTTTCTCTGTTGGAGGAGTACATTTAAAAAAAAAACCCTTTTTATTGGCATATGATGCACACACCATAAAATTCACCCCAAATATTTTCATTGTCACGAGCTTATGCTCACTCTCTTACAGATATAAAACGCCACACGTTCTCCCCAACCTTGCATTACTTTACAGAGCTGCTTCCTCTACCTCATAAACTTGACTAGTTTTCCTCCTTTAGGAAAGAGTTCGGCATTTTTAGACTGTCCCATATTTTGTTTTTTATTGATTTTCCCTTCATTCTCCGTCACGCAAGGAAACTTACTTTTCCTGCATATCCGGTTACCATGCCTCGCATCACGCAGCTCTGGGGTGACCATGGCATCTGTGATGGATCCAGATCAACAGGAGAGAACTAGAAGGCTACCTCCATACATCGCTAACAAAGAAAAAGAATCAGCAGGCTTTTACGTCCAACTGTAGTGGAAAGATTGGCAATGCTCATTTGAACCAAGGAGAAGTGGTATGAGTAAACTGTCAAACCAGTTCAGACCAGAGATAAAAATAGATTCATTAGGATAAGTGGGAGGTTGACTCATCCATAATAAGCAAAGGAGTGTCATGAAATTGGCAAAATATTTTTGTCCTTAAAGAATAAAAATATCCTATGTGGCATATTGAGTGGAACACATGGAAAATAATATCCATCGCCTTATAGCACTCTATATTTCTTTCTTGGAATTATCTCATTTCTCATCTTTATAGAAAGCCAAATCATTAATAGTAATTACCTACACACACACATTATTCCGTCTATATGGGTTCAAATGCAGTTATTACTTGTGTGACATTTAGAAAGCTATTTAAACTCCGATGCTCAGTTCTCCCTTCTGTAAAATTGAGAGCAAAATTCTACTTACCTGTAGGAATGTTACAGTGATCAAATGAGGTTATACATGGAGAATGCTTACAATAATCATTGCCTGGAATTATGCCTGGCATTTTTCTTTCTTTCTTTTTCTTTCCTTCTTTTCTTTCTTTCTTTCTTTCTTTCTTTCTTTCTTTCTTTCTTTCTTTCTCTTCCTTCCCCTTTCTTTCCTTTCTTTTCTTTCTCTATCATTTATCATCTATTTCTATCTATCCATTATCTATCTATCTATCTATCTATCTATCTATCTATCTATCTATCATATATTTCTATCTACCCATCTATCCATACACACACACACACACACACACACACACACACACACACACACACACACACACACACACACACACACACACACATTCTGGTACGTGTATCACTTTAAAACCTACTTATGAATTATAGCATATGTATGAACTAAAATAGAACTATATATTCCTTGAAGATTTTGTGTATGAAGCTGTATTATGTTTTTAAAAATTTATACCTTGAAGTCATTCACTGGTTGGAGCACTGATCCACTTACTGGTTAGAGTCAGTATGTTTCTCTGGATTTGTTATATAAATTTGCCCAATTATGACAACCAAAATGGGTGCCTGTCTCAGCTCTCTGTGCAGAGCCATTCCTGTGTTCATTCCTGTAAGATTGAGAAGCTTATCTACAGACCCTAGCAGACATCCCCTCAGTTTTATTTAGTCACGCTGGAGGCTTGAATACCTTCAGCATCGTTGGTCCATGCCTTCTGGACTTTTGGAAAGAGCCATTTTTGGCATCATGAAGACCTGATTCTAATCTTGGGTCCAGAATTTGCTAGTTGTTTTGACTACTGGAAAGTTACACGAACTCCCTTCCTTGGTTTCCTTTATAGGTCTTGTGGAAACACATACTTTCCTCATTTTGCTTGGAAGGCTATTAAATGAGATGGCATAAAGTATACTGGACACAGAAAGGACATAGTAGACATTCAGTGAACTTGAACAACTTTTCTCCCCTTACATGCTCCCTTTCAACCTTGCACACACGTATATTAAAGCACCTCACATTTTGCTTTGCAATTACTGTTTCTTTTTCTCCTCCAAGCCTGACAGAGGCAATTGAGTAGTTTAACAAAACCTACAAATAATCTAAGCTTTCATTTGCTCATTTGTTTAAGAAAAATTTGAGAAAATTTCTTCTGAGAATATTTCATCACTCATTGCATTTGTAAATGTAAAAGGAAAGAAAATATAGACTAAAGTAGTAAGATGTGCACAGATTTATAATGAAAACTAGAATGTTGACCCTCTCCCTCTGCCCCTCAGATTCCTATTTAAATATGATCTGGGATCTAGGGGCACCTGGGTGGCTCAGTGAGTTAAGCGTCTGACTCTCAGTTTGAGCTCAGGTCACAATCTCACGGTTTCATGGGTTCAAGCCCCATGGTGGGCTCTGTGTTGACAGTTAGGAGTCTGCTTGGGATTCTTTCTCCCTCTCTCCTGCCCCTCCCCCCCACCCTTGCACTGTCTTTCAAAAATAAACTTTAAAAAATACATATGATCTGGGCTCTAAATCCCATAGATTTGTGAAAGATAGATTTCCATGATTTCTTCAAGTCACAAGGGCATCTTCCCTCACATTCTGCTCTCTAAATATTCATGTTTTGCTCACCACGACCCACATCCCAAAGCCCGATTCCTTCCGTGGCTTCAGCGACACCAAATCCGTGTGATACAATTCTTCAGCTCGGTAATCTGAATAAAGATCCAGGAAACTGTGAAAAATTGTACATGGCTCAGTATAAATTCATTTTCAGGGGATTTGGTCTTTGATGGTGATGCAAAGTCAGAAACCCTAATTAATCTCTGAACACCTCTCCCGTGGCCTTCTCTCCAAATTCTAAATGCGTTAACATACCACTGGAGGCTGCGTGGAACACCCAATGCTCACTCCATGCTTCATGTCTTATCTCTTGTAGGCAGATGTAGTTGAAGTTCAGAGGAGTAGAGGAATCTTTCACTGCCTTCTCTTTACCCTCCAATCTGTTCCCTGGAGGCGTGCTGTTGAATCAGTTATGAACACGACCACCATCGTACCCATAGGCTTAGACACACCAGCTTATGTGGCTTAGCAACGTCATGTAAAAACTCAGCGTAGTTTCTTGACTTCTTAGATTACCATTTAGGGGCGCCTGGGTGGCGCAGTCGGTTAGGCGTCCGACTTCAGCCAGGTCACGATCTCGCGGTCCGTGAGTTCGAGCCCCGCGTCGGGCTCTGGGCTGATGGCTCAGAGCCTGGAGCCTGTTTCCGATTCTGTGTCTCCCTCTCTCTCTGCCCCTCCCCCGTTCATGCTCTGTCTCTCTCTGTCCCAAAAATAAATAAACGTTGAAAAAAAAAAAAATTTAGATTACCATTTAAATGAAGAGAAGTCATTGAAAACTTCACCAAGCAACTTAAAACATATGTCTGATAAGAAGAAAAACGTATATACATGAATGTACAATGAATAAAAAAGTTTGTCTTTCATTACTTTATTCGCTGTATTCTGGGGAACCCTTTGTCTAAGGACAACGGGGTTCTCTGCCACATATATATTTCATTGTGTTATCACAATTGGCACTGTTTATTCTCTTGTGAAGGATGAAGGCACACGTTCCACTTCCTTCAATGTTGAACCTGGAACAAAATAAGGAGATTAATTATTTACCGAACCTCATGAAAACTAACTGGGCACGGCCTAAAATATGTAACTTTGTTGATTATGTTTCAAAATGTGCAATGTAGAGGTGCCTGGGTGGCTCAGTTGGTTAAGCGTCCAACCTCAGCTCA